AAAGGTAGTTATTTAACTACACACACACACACACACACACACCCCTTACCGTCTCTGAAACACTAGCTTACCTAGAAGTTCTCCAAATAGAATGCATGTGAAAGTGCACATTTGTGGAGCTGTGTGTTTTTTTCCCTAATCACTCAGACTACAGTAATGTCCTTCAAACAAAATCTTAACTGCTTTTAAAACAACTTGTTATATTAGTATTTTATTATTAGACTGTAATGGTCTTTTTCCAACTCATGTCTATCTCATGGTTGAAGGCTGGCATTGGCAAAGTTCTTCCAGTGACTTGGAACAGAACCCAAGGAGTTGACAAGTGGCGTTTCCCAAATAGAAGCTATGATACGATATGCTATTAGTGTTCAGAGAACATTTCATTTGGTCTCAAGTGAACCACCAGAAGGTATTTTTAAGAAGACAAAAAACACTTCCATCGCTAGAAAAAAGTGAAAAACAACTGTACTAATGAATTCTGGAAGACCACTAAAACTTTCAATTCAAGTCTAACAAAAGAATATTACAATCAGATTTTAGCTAAGAAGAACTGAAGCAAACAAGCCACTGTACATATAAAAAGTTTTATTCCCAGAGTTAGCTGATTAATAAAAGTAGATCCCAGAGCTAGAATACTGACTAGAGAGAAAGTGCTTCCAGATAAAGGTCTGTGTTAAAGTTCATCCAGTAAGTGACTGAATTGATCTGCCAGAGCTTGCCAGGTATGTAGCTCAACAGAATACCTCATGGCAAATGACTCAGTGACCAAAAAAAAAAAAAAAAAAGAAAGTCCTCTTGAAACCTCTAGAATCAGGTCCTCTAAAATTTAGGGAAAGAAAAATGACAAAGATGATGTCCATCGTGTTATGGACCAACTGACAATCCTCCCTCTCCCCACCCAAAAGCAATCATGACACATGATGGTTCCCCTCTCCACTGAAATTCATATTCAAAATCTCAACAATGAATGTGCCTACAGAGTACCTAACAAGGGTTTTCAACTTTTCATAGAGCATTTGAGCCCAGAAACCAATGAAAGCAATAGCGGCAAAAAATATCAATCCCATAAACCTAACAAGCAAGCCATCACAAAAGCATGACAATCCTACTATGCTGAGGCTAACAAAAGTTGGATCAGGAAACCTCTGTAGAGCCAAAAATAAAGAACATATCTATCAATGAAGAAGTTTCATCTGAATTGGATAAAAGGGTGAAAAAATGCACCTGCAATGAGATCTAGAATACAGATACACATATTGGGTGAAGAGACTAAGATAGGAACATTCTCTTCTGATAAATACAAAACAGGTCCCAAAAAGTTGAGATTGTATAGAAAGGAGAAGAGATTTAATCAACTTTTGAAGAAATCTTTACTGTGGGGGAAATCTTTACTGTATTTCCTTCTTCACCATTGAAGATCTTCAGCTACCAGTAAGAGAAATAATTTACCAGGTGTCAGTACTGAAACTTCTCCCTCAAAGTACCTTAAAAGAATGACACAGGAATGAAAGAATAGTCAGGAAGGATGACCTGAAATGGATTCAGTCCATCCATCAATAAGCCAGACTTAGGACAGTCAGCTAAAAAAAGCCCCGGTTATTATTTGTATTACTGTAGTGCGTAGGAGCCATAGCCATAAACTGGGACCCCACTCCGTTAGGCCTTGTATCCTGGGGAACTCCCTACCATCAATGCATATGCTGAAAATAGCACTAAGTGAATAAGAGCCACATTAGAAGTGCTGACCGAATAATTACTCCCATTGAAAGGGCCATCAAGGATTTCTTTGGTATGAAGCTCAGTGCTAAAGAATTGTTTTAATTTGGACCATGCTCCAAAAGAATCAAAGTGGGAACAAAATGAACAGACTGTTAGGATTTTCCATAAGCAAAAAATAAAAGATATGTCCCCCTCACTTACTGGCTCAATATGTCAAGTAAGAACAAAATTCACTTCCTTGGAACACATCTTCACCTCAAGCAGGTTATACAAAAAAGTGATTTGTGATGGACAAAAATGTGGTATTTCTCAGAGCTTCAACTGGCATTTTTTTCAAACTTCACCAAGGAACTGAGCAAAACAGTCATGCCCCAAAGTTTTAACAAGAGAAGAACTCAGACTTACAGTTATAGGTTCGACAGTCAAATAATAAAAAAAAAAGAACATATACCTGTAAGGGAAGGTTTTAATAAGTTCATAGATTTTTAAGACCAGAAAGGACAGATAGATCATCCAGTCTGACCTCTGGCATAGCACAAGCCACAGACTTTCACTCAGTTACCCCTATAATGAGCCCAATCATTTGTGTTGGACTAAAGCAGTTCATCCAGAAAGACATCCAATTTTGAAGGCTTCAAATGATGAAGAATATATCACTTCCCTTGGTAGTTTGTTCCAAAAGTTAATCGCCTTCATGATCTGTGCCTTATTTCTAATTTGAATTTGTCTGGCTTTAACTTACATACAATGGCTCTTGCTGTCTTTCCCGATCTGTATCTAGTATTTTGTCTTTGTGAAGGTACTTATACACTATAATCGAGTCACCTCTCACTATTCTCTCCGATTGTCTAAACCTTTTGAGTTCATTAAGTCTTAACCGCAAGGAATTTTTTCCCAGGCCTCAAATAATTTTTATGGTTTTTATGTACTCTCTCTAATTTTGCAATATTATGCTTAAAAATACGGATACCTGAACTAGATGTCTGCCTCCCCAATGCTGTATACAGAGGTCAAGTCATCTGCATATTCCTCACCACTCCCCTCCTGTTTACACATCCAAGGACTGCATTAACCCTTTTTGACACAGTGTTGCACTGGGAGCTCATGTTCAGTTGGTTGTCCACTATGGCCCCTTAATCATTTTTAGAGTCACTGCTTTCCAGGATTCAGTTCCCTATTCTGTAGGTATGGTCTGTATTCTTTGTTTCAAGATGACTTTGTCTTTGACTATTAAAGCACATTTTGTTTGTTTGAATATGTCCATTTTACCAAGTGATCCAGATCACTCGTGTGACTGCCCTGCCTTCGTTATTATTTACCACTCCATCAATCTTTGTGGCATCCACAAGTTTTAAATCAGCAATGATTTTATATTTACTTACAGTTTACACCTCTACCCCGATATAACGCTGTCCTCGGAAGCCAAAAAAGCTTACTACGTTATAGGTGAAACTGCGTTATATCGAACTTGCTTTGATCCGCCGGAGTGCGCAGCCCCCCTCTCTCCCCCGGAGCACTGCTTTACCACGTTATATCCGAATTTGTGTTATATCGGGGTAGAGATATATTAATGAAAATGTTGAATAGTATCAGGCCTAGTGCAGATCCCTGTGGAACTCCATTCAAAATACTATGTTGGTTTTTCCATTAACAACTACCTTTTGAGAGGTGTTTGAACAATTGCTTGTGTAGCTGACTTTGAAAGCCCTGGGGCAGATAAAGCACTAGACCAATAAGGGCTCTTTTTATACTAAAAATTTCATTAATATAAAATTAAGGTTGTTCAATTTTATACCTTATTAACACAATCACCATTCAGCCACCGTGATTTTTGAAGGCATTTTACAAAGAACAAGAGATACCCAAAGACTAGAGGGAAGCTACAGTCATAGTTTAAAAGGGAACACAAAGGAACAGGAAACTCACCATTCCATATGCCTGCTGCTGGATCCAGTTGATGTAGTCATTTCTGATGTCTATCAAGTCTTGTATTTCATGAATGTAAAATTTGTCATACTGTATAATTTGTCCTCCTCTCTCATTTACCTGAAGAAAAGTATGATTGTTTACTTTTCGTTATTTTTATTTTTCATTATTATTACTTGCTACTAAAAGTTTGCTTAGTCTCTAATGTTTAAACATAAAAAGTCTTTTTAAAAAAACAAACAATTTAAGCTATGTCAGTCTAACTGAACTTGGATACCTTACCAAACAAAAACTAGGAAAGTGGTTTTCCTTCCCAACAGAGTAAACATTAAAGGTGTCCAATGCCCACAAGAACAGAAGAAAGGACGTACGGGAGGTTGAAATGTAGATTATTCAGAAATCCCATGAAATTGCAAGAAAAATGGAACAGCGATAGCTGCAAAATATATAGTTACATACTGTACAGTGCTGTCATTTTTAAATTACTGCAGACTTAAGAGTGAATGAAGCCTTGTGAGATCCACCAGAAACCACATTCTGGGTGGTCATCTCATATTTGCTCATTTAAAAGTCCAAGGATAGAGGAAAGAGTGGTGGATGAAGAAAACTCTCTATTCAAGAACTATTTTTTGTTTGTTTAAAGGCCCTGACTAAAGTGCAATTTTTAACCTAGTTTGTAACCGATTAATGACAATTGCTTTGAACAGCGTTTATCAACACATAAGCTTAGCTACCTATGCTTATGGTTAACTAGGAGTCTCCCTTGTTAGTCATACATGGTGGTACATGGTTTTCTTCCTAAAAAGCAAACATTGTTGTTATTTTGCCTCCCAGGCAGGATCCTCCAAACCTGGCTGTGTAACCAGAATGCCTGATACTTCTTCCTTCCAGATTTTGGTCAACAGGACATCCCATAGTATACTGCCCTACTTGCTCCTGTGTAGGGTATATTTCCTCCTGGTACTTAATCCCCTACTAAGCCAGTATTGGATAGGTACCCAGATTTTTCCAGAATTTATTGATACAAACACAGTTTAGCAGCATACTAGGTGTGGATGCCCACCTGGCTGCTGTGTGGCTGTCTTATGGAGGAGGAGGGAAATTGCTATGTAGATACAATATAAATTTACTGTAATCTAGGAAGACTGAAGTACAGATAAGAGGATGATAATATGTTACAAAAACATGATTTTACTTACAGTATAGCTAGGACCACGCCCCCACACATATACCCAGCCAAGATTAGAAAGACATGAATGTAGAAGTTGAAAATACTTCAGGAATTCATATCATTGCTTTAAAAAGGCCAACTTCTATTGCCCCTCCTTTCATTTTCTGTGTCCCAAAGATGAAACCACTGTAATACTGCAATACAGTAGAAGGACAAAAAGAAGAACAGGAGTACTTGTGGCACCTTAGAGACTAACAAATTTATTAGAGCATAAGCTTTCGTGGACTACAGCCCACTTCTTCGGATGCATATAGAATGGACTATGCATCCGAAG